AAATGCAACTTCTGACGTTACTGAAAGGTACGTGACGTCACTTACATTGGATTGACAAAAAATAGCAGAAGTTACGTTTTAGCACGCTTCTAAATAAAAATTATTAATAATAACAACGTAACAATAAAAAAAAAAATAAGTAAATAATACAACGCCTTATGAAGTAGCGCCATCTGTGGAGAAAGAAAGGCAACAGAAAAAAAGCAAGCAAGCATACTGTACTTTGGTTATTATATTAATAATGTTTATTTTCCTATTTATATAAAAATATTGATACGTATGTTATTATAAGAAATACTGAATAATTAATGGGATAGGCTATTTTAAGCGAATTTTCACTTACGCGATAGCCTTGAAAGGTATTGTCGCGCGTATGGCGGGCTCCTACTGCACATAATTTCTATAATTTCCAAAAACAATTCATTATTTTACGCAATTATATCCTCCACATTCTGCTTAAGAGCACATGGCACGCTTATACTATCGGCAGCCATATTGTCGAATAATGAATGCCCTGTGTTTGTTATATGATTGGCTGCTATGTCAGAATAATGCTTTACGCCTCGTAAAAAGTAAAATACTTGTCAAATTAGACGTCATATGGAGAGAGTCACTTCTAAATCGAAAGTGACATCAATCGCGTCGTTACGCCTGTATATACAAGTACAGTCGACCCCCCTATAATTACGGTCCCTATAATTACGATTCCTATAAAACTACGAAAAAATATACGTATTTTGGAAATGTTGAGTCGGATTAGTGTAGAATCGATTAATTTTATGGAAGAAAACCTTTCAAGCAGCCGTAGTCCGTAAACTTGACACATGTCGGGCTGTGATTGGAACGACTTGTAAGAAATTGGATTCCTAATAAATTGGAACGTATCTATATCTTATGGGGGGGGTCGACTGTATTTGCACAATTGGAGTACTGTGTAAGTGTAATATAATTGTATAATACAATTTTAATAATATTGGTATAAAAGATATAATGTACTTACAGTATTTACATTGTAACAATGTAAATATTGTATGCTTTTGATGTGTATTATAGATTTAATGGTAGTTTTTTCTTAAATTTATTTTTAAAAATCTTTTAAGGTTTTATAATTGTATTTACTGTATATGGAAAACATTGAATGTGTAACAGATATCAAATAATTGTTCTCTCTTTCTAGTATATGTAAGTATAAATATAAAAAATCATATTGTAAAAATCTTTATAACAACATTGTCAAGTCTTATGATCATACTCTTGTTTTCAACAGCACTGAAGAGGGGCTGTAAAGTCACAATAGCCCGAAATGCATATGATGTATAATCTGTATAAAAAATGTGCTACAATAAAGTCTTGAGTTGACTGGCCTGGGTGTGGCTGTGAGAAAAATTAACTGAATCGGATTAAAGTAATTTTATATACATAATAATAAGTAATTAAATGAGTAAAATAACTATGTAAAATATATTTATGAACCTTGTTGGCTTTACCATTATAATTACAGATTCACCACAAACCTTTTTCAATTTTTATTCAATTGATGCAAGATATCCCACAATGATAAATTGAATAAAAATCAAAAAAGGTGTGTGATGAATCTGTAATTATAATGATAAAGCCAACGAGGTTCATATTTATTATTACTAATTAATTGATAATACAGATTTGCTTATATTAAATATATTTTACTTTTCTAACATTATAAATTTAAACATTTTCATTTGATTATTATTCAGAATTGATAAGTTTAATAAACATTTCTAAATGTGAATAAATGAATTTAAAAATACAGTAAATATAATTGTAGATATTACTGTAAATGTCAAAATACAAAAAGTCATTGATCTATCAAAAAATGATTGCAATCACCAACAAACAGATAATCTATCTATTCACTATATAATATATGACATTTATAGACACTTTAGTGCCTGGTATATTCTTAAAAATAATAAGATTATCGTCAAAACAAAATCTTTTTATAATTTCTGAATTTAAGTTTTTGCTTAGTCAAATACTTTTTCCATACAAAAAATTTATTCCATATTAAAGATTAGACCAAAACATTAATGATGTTATAAATCCAGAGAATGAATTTTGTCCAAGGAAGATTAGTAATATAGCATTGATTTCGTTGTTTAGCATTAGAAAAATTATCTAAGAATGAATTATGAAACAAAAACCATTTCTATTTGAATCCTTGAAACTTATAATGAAGCAACTTTCAACTTAAAAAATTTAAATACTGCTGCCATAAATTTTACAGAATTAAATAAATCTTGCACTGTTAGACAGAAATATTGTTTAAAAATGAAGTTCAATAACTGATACTGTATAAATTTGCATGAATCAATTTTTCCAGTACATGAGTAAATTAACATTTTGATGGAAATGTCAAACTTATTTTAATATACTTTTTAAAAACTTGTTATCTTTTTATTGTCTACGGATTTTATAGTTAAAATATTTTCAATTTCAATGAAAACTGTTTTAAATATTTTTTAAATCCTTAACTGGTTTTATGGGGGCCGTGTGGCCCCCACACGTCATATTTTTACGATTTTCTAAAAATCTAAATATCGTGCGCAGCTGCCATTTTATGTAATCTCATTATGTTGGGACTCTTAGCGAGTGCCAAATGTTCGGCCCTGTAGCACTTACAAGGATGGAGCTACGTACCTTCTGGGGGCCGCGCAGCCCCACGATACCAGTTACGTTGGTTTTTTGTGAAAATGTGTTTTTATGTTTTTTTTTATTTTTACAATTATTTTGCAAAGATATCTCAATCTTGCATCAAAAATTCAAAATGACTACCAAAGAATTATTTGTAACTGCTAATAGATGATAATATTATACAAATTGCTAGATCAAGTCAAAATCTCCTAAAAAGAGTATGTTGTCATTTTGTGCTGGAAAAAAAGATGGTAAATATGCNTATAAGCAGAAAACAAGACAAAGATAAAACTTATTAAAAATTTTAAAACATTTCATTTGACAAACAATTTTAGTTATTTTTCTAATGTTCACAATTGAATATACTTGTTTATCAAATAGCTAACATTATCTTTAATTCAAAGCACAATCATCATAAAAAGTGATAAGTAATTGTTCAAATAAAAATAATAGCATTTGATCTGTGTTGAACTTTAACATATTCTTGTCTACATGAACTGAAAAAAATTAATTTTATAGGACAAGCTATCCATTAATTGATAATTATTTTAAACAAATTAAAAATTTATGCCTTAAATTTAACATTTTAACTAAATATTTGCAGAATAAAATTCTGTAAATGAAAAAATACACATATTAAAAACAGTTGCTAAATTTCAAACAAAACATACTACATATGTCATTTACAGAAATACACAATTCATTCACTGATCTTCCCTTGTATATGTAAGATTATGTTCACAAATTTTAGATCATTTAACAAAAAATATCTGTAATTGTGTTTGAATTTTAATCTTAAAATAAAATAATCTGAACTAATACATAGGATAATTTCTAATTTCTAAGAAAGATAATTTCTAAGCAGGAAAATATTTTTAGTGTAAAGTTGTGGTAAAACTTTATAAATATTAATGATTTCATTCATGTATATCAAATATTTCACAAGAGTTTGCAATCTTTTATATTTTAATCATTTTTCCTCAAAAGTAATAATTATTGTATTTGCATTAAAATTTCTAGATATGATATAAACAATCAAACTGCAATAAATCCCCTGCTGACTCAGACTAATAAGGAATAAAAATCAAAGTTCACAAAAGTCTGAGTTAGCAGAATGTTTTTCACCAATGGCAAGGAAAACAAGGTGAATATAGAGTACAGTAATTTATTAGGATAAGTCCTACACAGAAGTTTAACTGAGCTTTAGTAGGTTAGACTACTGAATTTATAATAATAAACAAGCTCAAAAAATTTCAAGACAGACCAGTATACAGCAATGTAATCTAGTAACTTACCAACTATAGTAATATAATGCATGGTATTGTAGACTTTTAGATATCAAAAACATTCAATTATAATTTCATCACAATTATAATTTTTATATTGTCAAGAATTTTAAATTACAATACAATTTTTCAAAAAATTGAGAACAATTTGTGAAAATTTTTTGTGATTTTTAAGTTTAAATATTTTCCAAATTTTGAAATATTTTAAAGATTTCAAAAATGCATTTAACTTAATAAAGTTTTACTATTCCAACACAAATAACTAATGTTATTTTGTGCAACTGAATATACTCAATTCTTGTTTTTACATAATTTTTTCACACACTTTTATAAAGACTTTTGCATACTTTTGTTTTGATTTAGAACTGTCTGAAAAAATTTAAATGTTCTTTCTACATGGATTTGTTTTGATCTAACATGTTTTAATAAATTTACCTTCTTAAAAATTGCCCTTTGATTTTAATTAAAAAAAATTCATTCCTCCTTTTCTAGAAAATTGTTGTTTTTAACAAAATTCTTAGAATTTGCACTTAAGGCTGCTACATAAACTTGAGTAAATTTTAAGATTTCACTTTTATTTTTAATAACTTATTTGAACATGAGTAGCAAAGCAACAACCAGTCTTTCATTCTGACTATCCTATGACTGAAGCAGAAAAAATTTAATTTGAAGTTTGACAATTTGATTGTATGATTGCATTTCTTCAACTTCTTTTAATATGGAATAGTTTTTGTATGCCATCTGGTGTTAAAAACTCCAGGTATTTTGGCATTTAATTGAAAAGGTTGAATAAAAACTAAAATTTATTTGAATAATATAAATTTATTAAATTTTGATAAGTAACAGTTNAATGTCAACATACACACAAAATACACACACACACACTTATTTATCATCATCTTATAGTTCCATTTAGCATTTATGCACTTTTGAACTGTCACACTGTTAAACTTGCTCTCTAAAGGCAAATTTTGCTTGGGGGCTGCGCAACCCCCATGATACTAGTTATGATTGTAAAATTTACAAAACTAGTTAAGGGTTAAATCTTATGAATATGGTAAAAATTCTAATCAAAAAAGAAAAACAAAAAAACAGCTATCAATCTCCAAAAATTTAATTACCTCTTCTTGCTTTCGTTTAAATTTAGATTCCAGTCTACTAGAGCATCGTCGTGGAGCATAGCTTGAAAGTCTCCTTCTTGCATTTCGTTCCTTACACAAGATAATAGAATTAAAAATGATTATTATATAAAGAAAATACATACTTAATAAGTGAAAACTTTCTCCTCTGTTACCTGTTCTATTATTATATCTTGCAATTTTGGTAGAAAAGATGATATTGTTTCATATAACTTTTTATCCAATAACAGTTTGCTTTTCCTCAATGTATTTGCAAGGTTATGCCAATCATTTTCTGTTGCACAAATTATGGACCAAGCTGAATTTGATACATCTGTTTTTCTTTACCAAAATTAATTTAACACATTAATATAATTTAATCTTTAATGAAACTTCACAAATAAGTAAATACTAAATTAAATAATTTATTTTACTTTTCTAAATCTGAATGCCTTTTTGCAATCTTTCTTTCTCTATTTTTCTTACTAATTTCTATATTTTCATTTTTCTTACTTCTGAAAATAAAAAATATATTTATTACATTTTAACCACAATAAGTACTTAAAATGTAGTTTACATTTTAACATACAGTTTTACAAATGTAAACTACATTTACATTGCAGTAAATGTTTATTTCTCTAATGTTTTTGGTCTTCCTAATCATCTTCCTCAGGAAACTTACAATTTGAAAACAAATGAAAAGCTTTCATTCATTTTTGCATAAGTTCAAGCACAAGTACTCATTTTTGCTTGTGCTTGAGCTTATGCAAAAATGAGTACTTGTGCTTGAGCTTATGCAAAAATGATTATGTTCAAAAGTATCATTTGCAAAAATGAGTACTTGTGAACACACAAGAATATAATCATGCCTTTCAGCTTTGCTTAAAATCATTAAAAATATAAATAATAAATTAATTCACAATCCATGATAGAAATAAACTTTTATTTGAAAAAGTACTTCTGCTTAACTACACAATTTAATAGATGTCAGTTAATTTTGATGTTTAAAGTACAAAATCAAGCATATGCATTTAAAGACTTTAAACAAAAAAACTTTAACCTGCAATCACCAATTACATAAACTTATTTTTTAACACGTGTACATTCATAAGGATTCACCACTGGTTTTTCATGCATAATAACACTGCATATACTTCTTGTTCTTTGAATTTAATTATTATGAAAAATCATGTACCATGTTTTCCCCGAATATGCAAAATTTCAATACTGTATTATACATAAACAAGGACCTTCAAATTTTGCTATAGTATGGCTTGATGTTAAACAAATTCAGCTGGAAAAAAAATGAGAGGAGGGATGAAGTATTTTTCTGGAAATAATTTTTCTGAATTTTTTGGGCCCAAAATAAAGTTTCAAAAATATTAAATTGTTGAAGACTGTAGCATCCCAGGCTACCTTTCAGAGACAAGTGTTCAATGTTGCAGCAACTTGCAGACCACTATGCCATTATATCATGCATCTATGATGGCATGATTATTTCTTGCAGCAATTGTGTAAGATCTCATGACATCTTTAAAAATGATGTTATGATATCAGAGTAAAAAAATTGCCACTTTAAGCATATGATCATGTAACAATAATGAAAATTTGTGCACAATTACATGAGTAAGGTGGTAGTTTTCTGCAGCAGTTTTTTCAGGAGCTGTGATAAACAGAAAAAATTTTTTCAACCAAAATTTTTACATAATTAGATGAACATGTAACATGAGGATATCATGAAAGCACAGCTAAGTCAATTTGATGAAAAATGCCCATAAAAAAAGCAAGTGTAAAAAATTATCACTGTTGCATATGATTGCAGATAAATACATGTTTAATTATGTATTTTAAATTTCAAAATCAACTGGCCACTTTAAACTGCATAATTACGCAGAAGTACTTTTTCAAATAAAAGTTTGCTGGCAGGAACTCATCAAAATCAATGGTTTTATTGAATTAAAATACAACAAACTTATTTAAAATTTGGCATTCTACACAAAAACTATCAATATAATAAGTGTTTTCTGGGCTATTTGAGGTGATTTGAGGTGATTCTATCAGTTCTCTGGTAATGCGAGGCTCCTCCCACTGGTTTGCTGTCTTAATGGCTTCTTTCAATTTTGCATCTGGATCCCAGGATTTTAGCATTCCTAAGGCTGATCAACTTCAACTGGCAGGGTTTCAGATTATCAATGACGATAGTGTCAGCCCACTTCATAGAAATATCATTAGCTCTTAACCTACCAACAGTCCTATATTGAAGTTTATTCTTCTTTTAGTTCAATTGATGGCTTAAATATTTTATTCTCAACAAATAGGTTTGTTGAGAATAAAATTGACTTTAATTAATTAAGTAATGAATTGGATGATTGGAATCATGCTATGGTCTCCTTGTGTAGTAATAGTAAAATAAAAGCAGAGACTAACACTGAAAGTTGATAGATGGCACTGCAGTCAATGACAAAACTAATTTATTGAAAAAATAATGCAAGATGTCTTTTAATTAAAATATAATTAGCAAACATTGCAGAAATTCACAGTAGTGATAAGCAATGGGCTGTTCAAACAGTTAAGAAAATCTAAATCATTTCCAAAAATTTCCAAATTATTTCCAGAAAAATACTTCATCCCTCCTCTCATTTTTTTTTTCCAGCTGAATTTGTTTAACATTAAGCCATACTATAGCAAAGTTTGAAGGTTTGATGGTGTGAGTGCCCAACATGTCTGTCATTTGCCTTCCTGTAGACTTAACATTATATCTTTGCCACTCCACCACACCTGAACGATTCACCTTTCTCAAATCTTCTTCAGCAGCATCATTTACAGCATAAGAGCTTTAATTTCATACCTGAACATTTTTAGCTCCAGCTGTTAACTCAAACTGAGCCAGGACACTGAAACTCTCTTTTAATTAAAATATAGATTATGTATTTTGGATTATGCAAATCAATTTATTATTGTTTGTGTTGAACTGACCATGGAAAAAATTCTCAATATTCATTGAAAATATTTTAAGGAATAATGTCAAAATGTCAACATACACACAAAATACACACACACACACACACTTTATTTATCATCATCTTATAACAATGAAAGACTAGTGTACTGTACATACCTACATCTTCGTGGAGATTCTTTATATAATCGAAGACCAAAAAAATACCAATATACATTTCCTTCACTATCTCTTCCAATAGGTTTAATTCTTAAATTATTACCATCAACACCCTAAAAATTAAATACAATGAATTTAAAAATAAGGTATACTTTTAAAATCTAGTTAGAATCAAAAGGTAATAGGAAATTTCATTAGCAAAATGAAATAGAGTAAACCCTGCTAACTCAAACTAACAGGGAATGAAGGTTGTCCAAATTAGTGGGATGATTTCTCTTATGAGAAAAATGAGAAGGTGCATATATAGTACAGTGATTTATTACAAATCAGCTCTCTACAGAAGTTTTACTGAGCTTTAATAGGTTATACTGTTGAATTTATTATTACAAGAAAGGAACTCAAAAAAATTTCATGACAGTACAGTATACAGTCTTTAGTAACTTACCAACTCAGTATTATAATGCATGGTATTACAAAGACTTCAATATATTGAAAATATTTGTTAATTATAATTTTTCTATTCTCAAAAAATTTCAAATTACTGCATCATGTTTTGAAAAAATTTGTCTTAGTTGATACGGTCCAAGTTAACAAGGTTTTACTGTATATTTAAAATTATAGTTTATAGGTTTACATTTGTAACTTAAAATGTTCTATTTGATTTTTTCAATTTTCAAATGTTCTGTTTAACCTGATGATGGTTATTTAATACTATTGAAAATCTTTGTTTTAAATTGAGCTTTTATAATTTATATTTATAGAATGAGAAACAAACATATGAGCAATTATAAAAACATTGAATAATGAGAAACAATTATAAACTTTATAAAAATTATATTTTTAAATGCAAGAAATATGTTTCTTAATTTATTATATTTATTAATAGTAAATATAATTTGTATGTCAAATACTATATATTCCAGTTAATTGAGACATATATTGAAAGACAGAAACAAGAGAGATAATATAAGGCAAATTTACTTTGCTTATTTGGAACATTTTCATCTTTATCAAGAAAGCATACAGTTCCAGAGGAAACAATGCACCATCAAGAAGCAAAGACAGCATACACAGCAAAGAGGAGTACAGGTAGAGACAGGTAGCAAAGAGGAGTACGGGCCAATGTTAAAAACCAAATCAGACACAAAATAAAATTTAAGAAAAAAAAAAAACAATGCTGACACTACAAGCATCAAAGAGTTGGAAATCAACTAAACTACATGAATTGCTGCAGAAATTTAGTCCCGATCAAATTACCATGAAGATGAAACAGGACCATTTCACCATGCAACTACAAACAGTTCTGATTATACATATGAAGAACTGTCAGGTTAAAAAGAAAAAAGCAATGGATTGCATTACAACATTGTGCTCTGCTGTAATATGTCAGGAAGTGATAATCAGAAGTTATTAGTCATTGGAAAGCACATTAATCCGTAATGCTTTAAAGCACTACAGATTAACATACTACTTTAAAGGTCATAGAAAGGTCCTCAACCGAGTATTATGCCAACAAGAATGCACGGATGAATTCCAATATTTTTCTGAAATGGCTTATGAGTTGGGATGCAGAACTGCAGAAAAAGTAAACAACAGTTCTAATCTTGGACAACTCTGATACTTATCCTCATGTAGTGTGTTTGAAAAACATTCATCTGAAGTTTCTTCTGGCTAATACCACATCCTTGATACAACTGAATATGGGAATCATAAAAAAATTTGAAAACATTATATTGCAGAAGGCTGGTACAGTACATTCTTGAAGCAATTGAAAATATTTTATCATCATCTACAAAAGCAGATGAAATTAGTTCTAAAATTATGGTTTTACAAGCAATACAATATGCTACTGGTAATTGAAGAAAAAGAAGCTGTAGCACAATTCAAAATGGCTTTCTTGTTTGCGGTTTTAAGACTTCAGAACAGGAAATGCCAGATATAACAAATAACAATAATGAAATCGCTTATAAACTACAAAATGTTAGAAATCACAAAATTTTTATACATTGATAACAACCTTCTATGTTGCAATAAAGATGCCAATTGTGTAGATGTAATTACTGAACAAGTTACAATCAAACCTGTTTTCAAACATAATTCATTCCTAAAAGTTGTTCTAAAGCAAACAGATTTCCCCATAAAAATAACACAAAATGGGTTAATTTATTCCTGATCCCCAAAATCAAGTTTTTTTTTACTTTTTTAACTATATTCATTACCTTTCTAAAAGATATTCATTAAAAGTTCTTGCATTTAATTAATACTGTTAATTATAATGCCAAATGCCAATTATGTACTAATGAGAAACAATAAAAAAAATTACACAGTAGTTAATAATAAATTATTATTATTCAATTTGACTTAAGTACCATTCAACATGAATTCTTGGATGCCACTTATATTACATGAATGTCTATTAATATGGTTTTTATTAAGTAATTTGATTTAAATTCAACTTTGGTGCATACCAAAAAACTGAATTAGTATCTTTTCCTCATGTCCATTGAAATCTAATTTAAATAGCAATGTCATTGATAATTCACGTCATAATGTCTAATGATGTGAGACCATCTCAATGCCACTAACTTCTGAAACAGTAGTCCTGTTGTTGATTGGTCAGCCATCAACTTTCTTTAACATAGGAAGTAGAGGGAGTTGACCATCTGTCTCTAATCTGTGGCCAGCTCTTGTTGTTTGGCAATTGAGTTATCATCCAGCAACTAGTGCAATTATGAGTTCAAAATTCTGTTAGTGAACTGATTTGTTCAAAAAGTGAGTCATTTGAAAACTGAGGTTTGACTATTTTGGAAAAACACCTAAAAACGAATGATAATAAGGATAGTGATGGAGACAATATTCCTGATGAAGACTTGGCAACTAGGAAGCCAGAAAATTTATTCCTAAACCAAGATGATATTTTATGCAAGATGGAAATGAAGGAAGAATCATTTCTGTATTGGATGCTTCCACTGATTTTGTCCACTTGCAGAGTATAAAGAAAATGCATCAAGATATGCTCAATAAATTTCTGAAAAAAAGAATTCTTTTTGTTCAATTATTATATTTTAATATGTTATTTTTGGACCTGAATTTATTTACATATAAGTATTCAGACTGAATATTAATTATATTTTTCAATAGGTTTTGTCTTTATTGCTTGTTTTTTTTATCTTAAATTTTGTCTTTCCTTAAAATTTGCTTTATTGGGACAAATTGGTCATATTCCAATTAAGTAGAATCAATTGTATTCAATAATGTATAAAATGTAAATTATACTCCCCAATATTTTAATACTGCTATTAATCTGCCCAATAAAATCTAGCAGATCATTTGAAAAGATAATATGATTATTGTTCATAATTTTCTTACTTGTAATTATCAACTCCACCAGTTACTTAATTCAAAGGACTGTTACATAATTCACAGAATCAACGTATTAATTGTAAATTAAACTTTTTTCAAAACTTTCACATCTCTTTGTCAAACTGAACACTAATTGTTTCAAACAAGACATTCCAAGGACTTGAAACAGATTCCTGTTCTCGGAATTTTTTCATATGTTCAAAACTGTTAGGGTTCAATTTAACATTGAGCCATGAAAGGTCTCAAAAACATTTAATTGACAATAAATACATTGACTCATTGAGTTATTTAGTAATCTTTAAACTAAGTTCATAACTTTTTATAAATATTTTAACTATTTACACATAAATGCTGTTACAGAAAGCATATAGAGAACACAATCAAAAAGTTTTTCTATGCTGTCTTTGTATTTATCAATTACATCTGTTCTATATTTAATAATTGCATAAATAGGTGAACAAATGGAATTCCCCCTCAGATACTTTATAGTCTAAATATAATTGCTTTACTTTAGTACACAATATAAAAATTGTGATAATCCAGACTTCAACATAAACAACATAACATCTTGACAATAAAAATTTGTTGTATAACCGTCAACTTTCATACCTGGAAGTGAATCGGTTGTTAAGTTCTCAGCAGTAAAAGCAATGCTTTCTCATAACCTTCTGACCTACTGCCTTGATTTCATCAGTTCAATATAGTAAAGAACTGCAAGTTTAGGCAGTCGCCGCTTAGTTCTTCCCGAGCTAAGAAGTCGTTGCCAGTCCCTCTTGGATTAAAGTCATCAAAATTTTCCTGTGTCAGTGCCAATCGTACTCTGTCACTTACCCTCATTTCACATTACCCTCAACTGTGCCTAGAAGAACTTTCTTGATCCAGACTGGTCCAGAACAATCGAAACCCAAATCCTCAAGATCCTAATCTCAACCTCAAATCAAGAATCACCATCATCAATACAGGTATTTCCCAACTCATAAACAATTGTAAACTCTCTCTCACGTGATTGCTAGATAGATAGGTTAAGTCACTATATCATACCATGTACTCCTTTTCGTTGAAATTAAATGATTATTTAGTCGCTAACTTTAGGGTCCGAGTACTCTACTTCCATTGGGCTGTCTCTCTATCTCCATCAAAACCTGATCACTTTCTGACACAGCTGCTTGCATGACCTACTTTTTAACCCAAACTAAACTTGTCATGGCTTCTGTGTCAACCGAGACATGGTGGTGTCAGTCCTGACAAGGCATCAAAATGGTGCCAACCTTCCAGTCACAAAATTATTATGTTAGAACTAATTGTCAATATTATATTTTGTATCATTCTATGAAGTAAATAAAATATAGCACCTGTTTGTGAACTTAACTACCACATTATATAAGGATTACCTGTAAATATTTGAGTATAAGGAATTACTAAATCTTACTGATCTCTGTTTTAAATTAATATATGTAAGTTAACAGAACAAGAAAACAAATGTTAAAAATTTATTATTATTATTATATTTATTAATATAACTATACCTTTAAAGCTTCAGTTATATTTTGAGTATCAAGCCGATATTCACAAAGCGCATGAAGAATTTTTGCCTTTGTACGAAGTGGCAAGGAATGAAATGAAGTATTACGTGAAGGAAAAGGATGTACTCGACCTTCTTCTTTAACCCACTTTTCTTGCAATATATCCCACAAATGATGCTCCCAATTATCTACACTGTTAAGCATAACATCATATTTAATATCCAAAAAACTTGCATCACAAAATAAAAATAAGATTATATTTTAACAGCATACAAAAACCTATCAATTTTTTTTATAATTATTTATCTTGGTTAAAATATATAAAAGTATTTAGCAAATATAAATTACAAGTATATAAATAAAATAATTAATGAGATTATTAATGTACAAAACATTGAAATATATGACAATGATGATGATGCAACTGTATTGTAAGGAACTGAGTCCAAGCTGTATTATTATTTAATTTTTATTTTGTTTTTATTCTATTTTGTTTGGGGTTTATGTTTAGTTAGGATGAAGGTTCCCTCACCACTCATCTTAGTAACGAAAAAGAAACAAAAAGAGACAAAGGAAAAAACCAACTCACCGACTAGATGAAGCGCCGTAGGGAAACTAATGCGCACTTGTGCTCCCCGGTGGACGTTTGAAAGAAGTTCCGCAGAAAAAAGGGGGGACACCCCACATGCACAAAGTAGAGAACTTGCTAAACCTTGATAAAATAAACATCCTGAATATGTAATAAAAAAGAGTAACGTAAAAGGATTTTGCGAGAAATGTCGGAAACTAGACTGCACAGGAAAGACATGCAAATTTATTGTTAGAAGTTAAGCATATAAATGAGGGGAGTGATTCCAGACATAATTGTGATGTTACCTCAGAGTATAAAACGAGCACGACCAGAGAAGACAAGTGAGGTGAGCCCCAGCCAAGGATAGTGAGGTGAATTCCAGAGCAAGACTGGAAGCAAGTCTTGAGGATAGAGATAGGAGTGGTTCAAAGGAAAAGTGGATAAAGGAAAAAGGTTCCTAGTATTGACGTGACTGATAGGATCGTAGTTCATAAGATTCCTTGTACATAGTTTAATTGATTGATATTGTCGAGTCCAAGGGGGAATAGTTCATAAGTTATAGTAAGTAAATTGTATTAGTTTTGTCAAGGTTTTGTTAATTGTTTCTTTTCATTGAATAAATTGTTTTAATTCTTACTAACCTGTACATATTAAATATTTGAGTTTCTTACTGATCCTTGTACATAGTTATTTCTGGAGCACACATAAGCCTAGGCCTGGCATTCTAACCACAAACCCGCATAAAGTACCCGTTAGGTTAACAGTCGTAAAGTTCAGCAATAGTCCTGAATACCTTACTAGCACATAGTTCCGTGTCGTATAAAAATCAAATAGTACTTTACAGTATAATCATTGTCTTCGTTAATTTTTTAAAATATACCATTTAATAATTTATAAAATGTCATAATTAAAATAAATAAAAAAGTCCAATATATTCCAGGTAACAAATCACATCAATATTTCAGCTTCTAAGCATCTAATATCTCATATAATTATGTTCATATTATTTTAAAACAAAATTTAACTTCATGCTTTCAGTAATGATCTAAGCAACAGAATTGTGAGAATTCAGGGGGCCATTTTTCTATAATTTTTAATGAAAAGACATGTTTTAGAAACTCTTCTTTATTCTGTCCATTTTCCACAAAGTTAAAAATAGGAAAAACCGAATGTTAATTTAACAGTAAACAACTAAAGAATTCATGTTTATAAGGTCATCAAAGTGACAAAGTCCTTCCCCTCACATCCACCTGTGAAATTATCGCAAACATGTTAAAGCAATCTATTGTTAAAGTGTGGTAAAATTGACATTTAACTAATCTAGCAGAGAGAAATCTAAAAACAATTGGAAGAAATAAGAAACCTGCTAGTCAATTTTATTTAATTTTCATCGTCCAGCGATGACACCTTTGACGTGTCATCGTTGCCAAATTCCCACACCGGATGGGGGATATAATGGCCAGACACCCATTTGTCAGGGCGGTCATCTCTAGAAGCCATAAAATTACGGCTTGTCTCACCGTATAGTCCCGAGGAATTACCTTTATCATTGGTGTTAGTGATTTGGGCAAGTATCATCTCCCCCAGTCCTCCACGGATAATCTACTGTTGAACGACAGACATCACGGCAGGAAGTGTGATAATTTTCCGATTGATGTAAACTGTCTCTATCGGTTGAATTAGAAACAAAGTCAGTGTTCGTACATAGCCTAGGATGTTGACCCCATTGATATCTATTTGTTACATATGCTTAGGAATGAATAAGTATAAATGTAATCATAGTTAGTTATTGTAGATCGCTTTATTTTCTACTAGCTGGGGTACCTGTCTTCACTCAGGGAGTTAATATGAGATTGTGTGATAGTTGGAAGAAAAGGATAAACTTTAAAATATTAGAGATAAAAAATTTTATTGTAAACATATTCTAACTACAATGGAACCTTGGTATACGACCTTAATCCATTCCTGATGTTTGGACTTATACCAAATAGGACGTATACCAAACCAACCTTTCCCATAAGAAGTAATGTAAAAATGATTAATCAGTTCTCACGTAAAAAAAAAAAAAAAATGGCTGGCTTTAAACACCTCACTTTCCTGGCTAATTCCTGCTTGATTTTTCATGAGATCAGTATGTATCTTTTTAGCTTTCTTGCAAATAATTGCTTCTGATACGATGTCGCCAGCACACAGTTTTTCAGTTATCCAAAGCAAAAGCAATTTCTCAACATGATCTAATGTCTTCGATCTCTGTTTAAAAATTGATTTAACCCCTTTCACAATGTTAGCAAATTTAATAATGTCTTTATTTTTCACGATTGTCGATATCGTCGTTCTCGGAATATGGTATGCAACAGTTAAATCTTGAACACGCATGCCACCTTCATATTTCTCAACAATCTCTTTTTTCAGTTCCATTGTGATTCTAGTCATTTTTTTAGTTTTCTGTTGCTTTTCATTTGCCTTTTTGCAATTCATGATTAATAAAAATAATAAAATTTTTCTTACAAATTAAAATCAGAAGAAATCTAACAAAGTTATAAACCGTGATACTGCGAACGTCTAGTATGGTCTAGTACAGCGGTCCCCAACCTTTTTATCGCCGCGGACCGGTCAAAGTTTGATAATTTTACCGCGGCCCACTGAGGGGGGACGTTGATCGTTTATATTTTAGATTGACTTAATTTAATAATTTTAATTTAATTGTATTTAAACATGCCTTCAAAATAAAATACAGTTACACCAAAAAATGAATATAATGTGATTTAACATTTTAATTCACTAGAACGCTAAATCAATGAGAACCCTGAGCTTGTTTCATTGCAAGGAGACGGTTCCCTCTAGGGGTAATAGGTGACAATGACACCCGAAGTGTGTTTCTTACGTCCAGTTTATTCTGTTGTTCCGTCGTCCATTAAAAGTCGCACAAACCCGAGGAAATACACCATAGTAAATAAAATGGAAATAATTTAATGTTCCTTGGGCGGACCGGTACCGTTTGATCCACGGACCGGTACCAGTCCGCAGCCCGGGGGTTGGGAACCACTGGTCGAGTACACCGATAGTGCTACTTGTTCATAGATATCGCATATAATTGAATTAAGTTGTATACCGAGCAAAATTTGCTTTGCCCAAACAGGACGTATTCTAAAGCAGACGTATACCGAGGTACCACTGTATTTACAATACTTGTTTATAAACAACATTTTGCTCAAAAACTTTTACAAATAGGCGAAGGCACATATCACACTGACCAGATGACTGGCCTCATTGAACTCAACAGTGATTTTTGCAACATAGCCACTACTGAAAAGGAACTCATCAACCAAATTTATCCAAACATTGTTCACAACTATACAAATCCGGAGTGGCTATTTCAAAAGGCAATTTTGGCAACTAAAAATAATATTGTCGACGATATCAATTTTAATATTCAAAAGAAAATTCAGAATGGGCAAGATGGTTCCTCCTCTTTTAAGTTTGGGCATTGTATAAAATATAAATCAAATCACTTTTTATTAACAAATACACTAAGTACACTTTACACAGTTTTCATACTTTATTTTCGATTTATATTCAGTCACTGTATCATTTTGACTACTCACACTTCACTGTTTGTTTTTATTCACTCACTGCACTACTTTTGAATTTTCACTTTTTTTTTTTGGTTCTTCCCTTCGTCACTGATAAGAAACTGATGTTTGAACCCACGACGAATCTTGCTTTATATACCCCCACTAATGGGTAGTCCCACCCATACAAAAAAGGCTTCGAATGGTCCACAATGTTGTGAAATGTTGTGGAATGTTCCAGAACATTCCACAACATTTGAGTGTGTTCTGGAACGTTCCACAATAATCTGGGATGTTCCTGAATGTTCCAGAACATCCCGGAATGTTGTGGAATGCTCTTGAATACTCTCGAATGTTCTGGACTATTCTAGAAATTTCTAATGGTTGAACCTTCCGGCCCTTATATCTTCAACAGCACACCCTTCAGGTAAAAACTGGAACCTTCTTCATGGATGAGGGATAGAGGGCTATCACACCATATAACTCCCTTGATTGTACTGGGACTCATTTTGAGTTTTAGCAGCACGCACATTGTACACTTACCTTTATTATATATATATTGATTAAAATTATTGTTTTTAGTCAAACTGGTGTTGACTTCAATTGTTCAAACTGGTCACCCTATTGACTTACCTATGACTCTCCCCACTCTTCCTAAAGCCCTCCAATAACTGTTATGAGCAGGAGAAAAGAGAGTTAAGACGTGTTATTTCTTAACTGACAGGAGAGGGAAATTTTATGATTTCCCCACCTCCGACCATAAACAAGCAGAAACAAGCCATCCAGTGACAACGTGAGCAGGCTTTACCAAACCGTTGCTAATCAGAGGTTAGAGCTTGACTCTCTAACCCCTGGCTTTCCACATTATAAATATATATTATAAACAGATCTCCAACCAACATGTATCTGGTCTGGCAAATAAATAAAAAAAGGGCTGATCCAAACAATCACTGCTATTTTGCCAATGTAATTTCAATTATTAAAAAAATTTGTATAACCATTTGCTTTTCTTCTTTTCTGTCATGTCTTGCCACAAAGTATCCAAAAAAA